GGCGAGTGGCATAACTAAAGCAGAAGCCGCCCGCCGGGACCTCGCTTCTGATTAGTTATTGTGGAGAAAAAGCCAATATATTTTTAAGCCCGACAGTTAATTTGCACCTCTGTAGAAAATAACTTTACAATCAGTTTCTTTTTTTTTTTTCCCCCTCAGCCTGAAATTGTGTTTTCCATTATTAAAGTGCATGTCGTGTGGGTGTGTGTGTGTTTGTGTGCTAATGTGCATGTATGAGTGTGCGTGAAAACGCGTTAATGGATGAAATCTCAGAAGTTATTTTATGAGAACACAATAACCTGAGCACTTTAAATCGCACAAACAAACCCGAGCTGAGCGCTACATACACATGATGGAATTACTGTGTTCAACACACGACTCTGCTGCTCGGCGGTGGAATATGAAGCAGAATCAGCGCTGATTTATATCTTATAAAAGGCAGAATTCGATCAGAATCCCATCATGCTGCATTTGTGCGTTTCTGAGCGAGGTCAAATTACTCTAATCATGTTCATAACCTCTGAGCACGTACGGGATCTGCAATAATTGCTTCTAAACATTCATATATGCCAAGATAAACCGTGTGCTCCTCGTATTTAAATATTAACACAGGAAGTGAAAGGTGAGGCATTTAACTAAGACCCAGCAGGGTTACAGATGGAAGCAGACTTTTACAGTTAAAAAGGAGATATATAATAAGCTGCAAACAACTAGGCACAATGTTCAGTGGATGCTATGGTGTGGCTACATGTTGCTTTGTGGTTGTGAAAGTGTTACTTTGCAGTTGCTAGAGATTTGCTATGCAGTGGCCAGAGTGTTAAGTGGTCACCAGTGCAGTGTTGCCAACTATTTCCAATGAAAAGTAGCTAAAGCCCGCCCGAAAAGTTGCTAAATGTTGCCATATGACGTCACACACTAATTTGCATATCAGTTACATCATAACATAATATCTGGCAAGCATAAGCCAATCATGTCTCTACTCTCTGAGGCGCTATATATTATATTATATTATATTATATTATATTATATTATATTATATTATATTATATTATATTATATTATATTAAGACATTACATCCAGATAGGTTCTTATTAACATATTAATTTGCGTGGTGACATCGTTGTGTAATCACAACTCAAAACTTGCTGACCCCTTGCGTCAGCGTCAGGCGTTGCCAAACTGCATTGTGGATCCGTCAGCGCCGCTTCAGATGCGTTGCTCGCTGAAGAAGTTGGGACTTGCTCAACTTTTCAGATAGCTGTATGCAAATACACCAGCTAGACAGTGGCCTATTGCTGACTAAATTTCATTGGCTGACGCTTCTATGACGATTCCGGCAGCCCCAACTTTAGACACGCCTTCAGTCAAGTGTTGACGCTGAAGCCCCGTGTGAATGGGGCGTTACAACTTTAAGATATTATTTGTTACTATGAAGGTAAAACTGATGTATCAGAGAACTACATTATTAACTTTTTTATTTTGTAGGGAAAATATTTTATTCACAAATAAAAATTCTCCAAATCGCAGCCTTCTTCTTCTTCACATTTTTTAATTGAAATTCATGTTTTTATTAAATCTCTTAGACTAGTTAATAACAAGAAAAGGGATAATCCTTGGATTATCATGATAAATATTTTTGGAAATATGACGGATACATGAGTCCTTGTTTCCTCTTGCTGTAATTGTGTTATGTATGTATCTCTTATTTTTTTTATAAAGTTTTTTCTCTCTCTTTTGTTTCTCTTTCAATTTATTAATTTTTAATTGTTTATATTATTTATCCTGATCTGTTATTATCATTGTTTTTTTGTGTAAAATTGGATTTTGTATGTTTGTTATTGAAGTGAATAAAAAAATAATAAATAAAAAAAACAAAAAAAAATACATCTTTATGTAGTATACAAAATGATTGTTTTCTCAAATTGACTGGCCGTCTCAGCTAAAACATTGGAAATATGTGTGTTGAGATTTGTATAACAAAATTTTTGCAGTCCACTTAGAATCCAACTTGGAAATCTTTTTTTTTTTATTGTTCATTGATTGTTTTGAAATTTAAATGTCATTAACATGCCTGTGTTTTTATTTCTGCAATAAATATGGCTGTCAATGAGGATCTTGAGGGTTTATTGTGGGTATACTGTTTACATGAAGAAATCTGTGTTACAAGTTAAACAAAAATTCTAATAAACAATTATTATTTGAATTTAATTAGTTTTTGTTTTGCGTTTACATTAATATTACATTTGAATAGCCAAAATGACAAGTTTCAGTCTTTTAAATGTGACTAATTGTAATTAAATTGCAAAAAAATTGTGAATAATTAGTAGATTTTTTAGACTGCACTAATTTATATATATATATACACACACACACACACACACACACACACACACACACACACACACAGACATATATATATATATATATATATATATATATATATATATATATATATATATATATATATATATATATATATATATATACACACACACACACACATGTATATATATACATGTATATATACATATTCACACACACGCACACACACACGCACACGCACACACAACAGGAGGTCTGACAGGTTTGAAACAGTCTCTCTGTCATTGCGTCTAACAATTTTGTGTCTTGAGGTTGTGCTGTTTAAGGAGATTTGATTGGAAGGCAATCACAGAACTTCTAGTACTCTACTTCTGTAAATGTGGCCAATCACCATAGACAAGAAAAATAATAAAGTAGTGCATACAGGTTGAAGGAAAATAGTGAAGTAAAAGTACCACTACAGCACTAAAAATGTCCTCAAGGGAAAGTACAGTACACATTTTACTTAATAAAATACAATTCCTAAAAGAGACGACTCAATTAGTCATTTGAGTATTTGTAGTTTGTTACTTCACACCACTGATTAGAATATTTAATAATTGCAGTACACAACAAATCGAATAGTATTTTCCAAATCATGTGATCAGCAGATATAAACAGACTGACAGAAACCAGTTCTCACACAAATGCTTTTGTTAGTCTTTCAGGAAAGAAAATACCATTTTGTGGAATTAAGCTCACAAACTGGGCCTCTGCGATATAATGAATTGCTTCTGCCCTCTCAACTCAATCAACACTAAACAGAACAAGAGCAAAGAGGAGAAAATGGTCTGTTCTCTGGGGGAAATTAAGCTGAATCTCCTCAAAAAGCATCTGAAGACTCTCACACTGGTGGACTGAGACATGCTGCAGCTATTTACTCTCTCTTTTCAATATAGATTTCCCACACAGACATGGAAATGCAGCTCTAGACTAATCGACAGGAGAATCGCTGAGGCTTGTCGAGATTACATTTCAATTCATGCCAAATCATCAGAATCTCACAACAATGCTATCAAATAATACAATAATGCATGTGCGGGAAACATGGCTGTGTCAGAAAGAGTCAAGGAGATTAGCTAGAAAGATTTCTCATATGCATCTTCTATACGCATCATTTCCTCATATATTCAGATCAGTGACAGCATTTAGTGTGTGTGAGTGTGTGTGAGAGAGAGAAAGTGTCAGAGATTGTGTGTCTATTTGTGTTTAAGTGTGTGTTTGCAAATTATGCGCATGGTGAATAGAATTGTACTGAATAGTATAGAATGGAATTGTGTATAGAATATAATTTTAAACAAGTTGGTTAACAGTATTGCATAGAATAGTATCAACTTGAATTGTGTGCTATTGCATATTATAGAATTTTCTAAAATATAACCTAAATAGTATAGAATAATAGAATTGTGTTGTGTTGAATGGGACATTTCAGAATAGAATTGGACAGAACAGTATTGTATACAAGTACAAGAATGGTATTGAACAGAACTGCATTGCATTTAATTGCATTCCATGCAATTTTAAAGTACAAAACAGAATTGTATTGAATAATATATCATATAATTGTGTTGAATAGAGCAGTGTAGAATAGAATTGTTTTAAAATTAAACAGCATTGTATAAAATTATACAGAATAGTTTGAATTAAATCGTATTCGATAGGATTGTATAGAACAGAACTATAATAGAATTGTACTGAATAGTATAAAATGGAATTGTGTATAGAATATAATTTTGAACAAGTTGGTTAACAGTATTGCATAGAATAGTATCGACTTGTATTGTGTGCTATTGCATGTTATAGACTTGTATTGTACGATAGTGTATAGAATTGTCTAGAATATTACTTAAATAATATAGAATAGAATTGTGTTGTGCTGGATGGGGCAGTTTAGAATATAATTGAACAGAACAGTATTGTATACAAGTACACAGAATGGTATTGAACAGAATTGCATTGCATATAATTGCATTTCATGCAATTTTACAGTACAAAATAAAATTGTATTGAATAATATATCATATAATTGTGCTGAATAGAGCAGTGTAGAATAGAATTGTTTTAAAATTGAACAGTGTTGTATAAAATTATACAGAATAGTTGAATTTAAATAAAATTGTGTTCCGTGGGATTGTATTGAACAGAACTGTATTGTACAGTATTGTATAGAATTGCATATAATAGAATTGTACTGAATGGCATAGAATAGAATTGTGTTGAATGATACAGTTTAGAACAGAATTGTACTCAACAGTACTGTATACAATTGTACAGAATGGTGTAAAATAGAATTGTATTGCATATAATTGTATTGAACAGCCCTGAATTGTAAAACATTTAATTGTGTTGAATAGAATAAAATAGAGTTGTGTTGTGTTGAATGAAGCCGTGGAGAATAGAATTGTATAGAACAGCATTGTATAAAGTAGAACAGAATAGTATTGAACAGAATTGTTATTCATGTAATTCCATTGTGTTGGATTGCATAGAACAGAACTGAATAGGAACAGTATCGAATGCAATTACATATAACAGAATTGTAAATAGTATAGTATAGGACTGTGTTGTATTGGACTATGTATAATAGAATTGCATAGAACAGAATAGAATGGTAGTGAAGAGTATGGTAAAGAGTTACCGTTGTTTTGTCGTAGAGTGTGTGATTGTCCAGTAGTTTTCCTCTCTCCAGTCTGGCGAAGCGTCTCAGGTCTCGCTCAAACAGCTGCAGGGAAAACAGAAAATAAACTTTATGAACTGACATTTCAGATATTTTACTTCTATTTCTACTTCTTTGTACACACAATAGTCATCATCATGATCATGTATGCCGTACAGAAAAAAAAAAAAAAAGTTTTTTTATTCGGCATGGGGTTCTCAGTAAAACTGCTCTCTCCTATCAGTCCACACTCACAGCCAGTAGCTCAGAGTTTGTCCAGTCAGTAAAGTTTATAGCAGTGTTTTCATGTCCTTTATGGAATAATACATTAAAATAGAAGTAAAATAACATTTGTTACACATTTATTTCAAAAAACATTGTTTTGCATTTTGTGATTTTTTTTTCAGTTGAGTAAAATACTACTATGTTTTCTTTTCAAATATTTCATCATCGAGGATTCCAAAACAAACAGTGAAAAAATCTTGTCTCATTCTCTCATTCTCTTCACACGCCTAGTAATAATGATTTTAAAAATGTGTATAAAATAACACAATATAACAGTGGTAAAAGTCAAATAAAATAAAAGAAATAAAAAACTATTAATATTAACTACTAATATTAATAAAAGGTAAAAAATATCGCTATAAAAAAGTAAAAATGTGTAAAATATTTTAGTTAAAAACTACTTTTATTATAATAAAAGAGTTCGATAGATTTCTATTCAATAACAGAAGAGAACAGTAGAACAGAACAGAATAGAACAGATTGTAATAGAATAGAACAAAATAAAATACAACAATGTAATAAAACAGAACAGAATAGAAAAGAACAGAATGTAATAGAACAATAGAATAGAACAAAATATATTAGAGTGGAACAGAATACAATAGAACAGAACAGAAAATGTAACAGAATAGAAGATTAGAATAGAACATAATAGAACAGAATGTAATAGAACATAATAGAATAGAACAGAACCGAATAGAACAGAATATAATAGAACAGAAAAAAATAGAACATAATATATTAGAACAGAACGTAATAGAATAGAATTGAACAGAATAGAATGTAACAGAATAGAACAAAAGAATAGAATAGATTCGATTAGAATAAAACAGAACAGAGTAGATTAGAATAGAACATGATAGAACAGAACATAATGGAATAGAATAGAATAGAATAGAATAGAATAGAATAGAATAGAATAGAATAGAATAGAATAGAATAGAATAGAATAGAATAGAATAGAATAGAATAGAATAGAATATATTAGAACAGAACAGAATGTAATAGAATAGAATTGAACAGAACAGAATGCAATAGAACATAACTGAAAATAGAATAGAATAGAATAGATTAGAACAGAACAGAGTAGAATAGAATAGAACAGAACAGAATGTAATAGAATAGAATAGAATAGAATAGAATAGAATAGAATAGAATAGAATAGAATAGAATAGAATAGAATAGAACATAATATAATAGAACAGAACATAATATAATAGAACAGAACAGAATAGAACAGAATGCAATAGAACATAATAGAATATAATAGAACAGAACATAATTTATATGAACAGAACAGAAGGTAATAGAATATAATTAAATAGAACAGAATGTAATAAAACAGAATAGAATAGAACATAATGGAACAGAACAGAATAGAAAAAAAAGAGAACAGAACAGAATAAAAAACATACCTATTAATAAGCTTTCATAAGCACAAGACTCATCCTAAAGAGATGAAATGTATCAGATGGATGTTGATATTGATCCACAAACTGTTTGTGCTGTTTGAATAAATCCCATTATGCATTATAATATCAACACAGATCATTTATAAGCAGAGGACTAATATTTCCAGCTCGTTCGCAAACAGATTAATCTAAAACAAAGGCATTAAACAGTAAAGAGTCTCCAGCTCAGCAATATGATGAGCTTTGTTATTTCTGCTTTATATTATATATTTCCCCTGAGTAAACAAAGCTGAATGAGCTTTAGAATAAACCTGTGCGTCCGTTTGCAGCATTAAGCATCATGTTTAATCTCATCCGAGACTCTTATCGTGTCCTGCAGAGCGGCTGAAACACTCCTCCATTAAACTCTTCAAACACACAGTGCTTTTTAATGTTTCTGTCATTATCTAAAGCTCCTCCAGGTCACGGCCGCTTGGGCTGCAAGTAAACGCCACCACTGGATGCCATGAAGAGCCCAGACGCTTCAATACATGAATAAATGCATGAATTAATGTTCAAATGTCTAATGAGATGCACATAATGGCATGATTTATTAATTGTGAAAGGTTCAGAAGCCCTGTGGTCCTCGGTGCTGCACTGTATTACATATACAGAGGTCAGAAGTCAAGACGTCAAGGCCAGAGGTCAAATATAAAGGTTGATTTATGAATCTGTAGTGCTCAAATGATTTGGATCAAGTTTAACAAAATAAGAGAATTAAAGTCAAGCATGTGTGTAATTATTCATAATTAAAGGATGACTTCTGCAATAACAACTAATAACTTAATGAGTTTTATTTTTATATCATAGATTCAAGTCTAAATTATAAATTTATAGACTTTACACTGTTTTAATAATTACACCTGGATATTAAGGTGTTGTGTAGAATAGCATTAAGTAGAATTGTACAGAACAGTAATGCAATTGCAAAAAATACTATTGAATAGAATTGTATAGAATTGCCCAGAATTATGTCCAATGTCATTGCATAGAATTGTAAAGCATGCCCTTTCCTAGAACATAACTGCATAGCAAAGTACAGAATAGATTTGTAATGTTTAGAATCGAATTGCATAGAATATAACTGCATAGCAGAATTGTATAGAATAGAATAGTCCTTCAAAAAAAATGTATTCAATAATATTAAAAAGATTTCCCAGTGATGGGTTGCAGCTGGAAGGGCATCTGCTGTGTAAAACATTTGCTGGATAAGTTAATAAAAATTAGTAAAGGGACCAAGCAGAAAAAAATTGAGTATTAAATAGAGTTGCATGGTATAGAATATAACTGCATAATATAATTGTTCCGAATTGAATTGTGTTAATAGGATATTGCAGAACAGAATCGTGTTGAATGGAAATGTAAAAACTTGCACAATATGGTTTAAATGCAATTGTATAGAATTGAATAGAATTGCATAGCACAGTATAGAGTAGTAGTTTATATTAAAGAATATATCTCGATATAATTGTATTGAATAGTATTAACTATAAGTGTATAGAATGAAATTATATTTAATAAAATAGACTAGAATTGAACAAAATTATATTTAGAATTGTATAAAAAAAGAATTTAATCTGGAATTGTGTTGAATAGAACATTGCAGAACATAATTGTGTAAAATTGAATTGTATAGAATTGCTCATAATGCTTTCAAATTAATAGAATTGATTAGCAGAGTATAGAGTAGTAATGTATGGTATAGAGTAGGTCTGTATAGAATTGTATGGAATAGTATTAATTACAATTGTATAGAACAGAATTACATCAAATGGTATGGAATAGAATTTAATATAATTGTATTGACTGTAGAATAAAATAGCATAGAATTAAATATCATAGAAAATAATTGTTTGGAATTGTGTTAAACAGTTGTATTGAATTGAACAATGATGTCAAATATAATTGTATTGAATGAAATTGTATATAATTTTACAGAATGCACCTGACTAGAACAGCATAACTTAGCATAGTATAAATTTCATAGCATAGTGTAGAATAGAGCTAATTAGAATTGTATAGAACATATACATTACATTTAATTGTATAGAATGAAATTTCTTACGATAGTAAAGAATATAACTGTATAATTTAATTAATAAGTATAGAGTAGAATTACATAGATTAAAATAGTTTAGAATGCATGGTATTGATTACAATAGTGTAAAACAAAATTGTATAATAGTGTTAGAGTATAAAACAGTGTAAAAGAGAATTTTATCGAACAGTATTGAATAGAATATTGTATATATGTGCTGTTTTATACATTTCAATGCAAGCTATTCTATATCATTTAATTCTGTTCCATACAACTTGGTTCCACAATACTGTTTTCAGCACATTTTATTCTACACTAGTCTAATCAAAAGAATTATATACAATTCTGTTCTCCACTATTCTATCCAATACGGTTCTATACAATTATATTCTTTACTATTCTTTTCAATGCAATTACATTCTACAGTATTCAATTTGATACAACTTTATGCAGTTCTATTCTACACTATTCTATTCAATGCTATTCTATGCAATTCTATTCTACACTATTCTACTCAATACAGCCTTCTACAATTTTAGGGCAAGTCTGAAGCTGGTTGTGTAGTGCTGCTGTGCTTTTGTACTGCGCTGGATCCACTATGGTAAACAATTGTATTCTGGGTAATTCCATATGATTATATTTGACACCATTATGTGCAATTCTAATTAGCACAATTCTATTCAACAATTTTACACAGTTAAATTCTACACTATTCTATTAAACAATCCATACAACTCTACACTATTTCACATAACTCTATACTATTCTAATAAATTATAGAAAACTTCAAGATTATTATACACGAGTATTTTTAAAGTTTCTCCATAATTCTAATCCTTTACTACTCTATACTCAATTTTATTTTATATTATTCTGTATAATTATATTCTATACTACTCATAATTTTGACGCTATTATATTTTATGAAATTCTACACATCTATAGTAAATGAGAAATATCTTATATACACAATTCCATTCAATTATACACAATTCTAAATGATTCCACTCTGTTCAGCGCAATACTATTCAATCATGCACAATTCTATTCAGTTTTACACAATTCTATACTATTCTTTATGATTATATTACCGTAGATCCAGTCCATCCCAGCAAAGCGTATGGGAATCTCTCCAGTGGAGCCACCAAATCCACCCGCACCGCCCTCCAGTTGCGCCCAGTCCTGCTCTCCTGCGTCTGCAGCTTCACCAGTAGGAAACACTTGCTGAATCGGTCCATGGCCTCGAAGCGGTGGTTGGGGAGCTGCCGCAGGTCGAAGGTGGACTTCTGGAAGTCTGAATACAGCAGGACATTCTGAACAGAGACAAAAAAAAATGCACAAATAGTCAAACTATAAATATCTATTTAATATTTAGACAACATGAATGTGGCTGTGTGGGAAATTATTATTTTGTTTTATTTTAGGTTATTTGATTAAATTGTTATTATTAATTATTATTGATAGTACTGTACTTAACAATAAAGTCTAATTTACTGAGAAGTAAAATTAAAAAAATATAATAAAATAAAATTCAGCTGTTTATTTTGCTGTGGTGACCCCTGATAAATCATGGACCAAGCCAAAATAAAATAAAATAAAATAAAATAAAATAAAATAAAATAAAATAAAATAAAATGAAATATTAAATTTTAAATTAAATTAAATTAAATTAAATTAAATTAAATTAAATTAAATTAAATTAAATTCGGCCGTTCATTTTGCTGTGGTGACCCCTGATAAATCATGGACCAAGCCAAAAGAAATTGAATGAAATAAAAATGAAATAAAAAAATTAAATAAATTAAATTAAATTAAAAATTCAGCTGTTCATTTTGCTGTGGTGACCCCTGATAAATCATGGACCAAGCCAAATAAAAATGAATTAAATAAAATTAAAAATTAATAAAATAAAATAAAATAAAAAAATTAAAAATTAAAAAAAATAAAATAAAATAAAATAAAATAAAGGCTGTTCATTTTGCTGTGGTGACCCTTTGATAAATCATGGACCAAGCCAAAGGAAAATAAAATAAAATAAAATAATAAAAAATAAAACAAAACAAAATAAAATAAAATAAAATAAAATAAGGCTGTTCATTTTGCTGTGGTGACCCTTGATAAATCATGGACCAAGCCAAAGGAAAATAAAATTAAATTAAATTAAAAAAAAAAAATAAAAAAATAAGGTTGTTGGATTTGCGGTGGTGACCCCTGATAAATCATAGACTGAGCCAAAGAAAAATCAATGATGAAAATAAAATAAAATAAAATTCATTTATACAATCATACACAGCAATGAACCACCATAAAATGCACTGAAAAAAATTATTCAGTGTAAATTAAAAAAATGTATTATTGAATTTAAACAAACAAAAAGTTTAACATTATTTTAACATTACTAAATTTAATTTGTTTGTTTAAATTTAACACAAATTGTTTGCGACAACTTTGCAGACATTTTTTTAGTGCACAAAAAAGTAAATAATGCAAAATAGTTTTTCATGTAAATAAAAACTATAAAATTTATTGTTATTAACAACATGCAGTGGCAAAAAAAAGATAATAAACGTATACTGTAACTCAACATGTGGTGTATCTTAAGTTTTGGCAAGTTTGACACTGTAAATAGATCAAATAAAAAAATTAAACTGCTATGCAACATGAAGCTGAAAAAATGCTTACTAACAAACAAACAAACAAACAATAAATAAATAAATAGCACAGGGGTGTTACACTCCTGGAGGGAGCCCGGAACCGTTTAGTTCCAACCCTGCTTCAAAACATACCTGTAGGTTTCAAACAAGCCTGAACGACTCAATTAGTTTGATCAGGTGTTTATTATGGTTATTAACTGTTGCTATGACAACAACTTTCACATAAGTTTTGAAGAACGAACCGTATCCTGAACCGTATCAAATCGTCAATAACCAAATCCAGCTAACTAAGTAATCCATGTACGAAGAACGGACCCAAGTTCTGGCAAAACTAGACTGAGAGTGTATCATTATAAACAATCTGTGATAATGTGCTTTAAATATATTGTGACTTGATTTTGTAACCCATATGTAAGGCAAGACGGAATCTGCGGATGTTTCTTGCTATTTCTGCTGAGAATTTAGGTAGAAATCTGCAGATTTCTGCGGTATTATTTTGGTAGTATCATAACTAAAACCTTAATATGTCAAATAAAAAATATTGTATTTTTAACTTTTATTTAATGTTTAAAATGCAAATCCAATTAGATTCACTTTATTTGGTGAACAAAGCAAGTCTCTCATATAAAATAGCTACTAAAAGACAGAAAATATTACTGTACAAACTGCATTGTAAATAAATTATATGAACATTTTCTCAATAGACAATAATATTACTGAAATTAATTTTAAAAATGAATAAAAATAGATTTACACACATTTTCTTAAGTAAATAAACAGAATTAATGATGGGCTTTAAATCTGCGGAAACCTGCGTGCGCAGATTCTGTGTGGGCATGCCCATATGACAGCCACTTTATTTATTGTTAGTTTTATTTTCCCCTACTGTGCTAATTTTTGTAAATAAAGTAAAATCTAACAATCAACAAACATTTCTGATTATGACCATTCATAATAATCACGCAAAAAAAACTGTTTCCCCATTCAGTCAGACATTCATAAACAGCAAACCCACCCCGCTGAAAACTACATCTGTTTCCATCTCCCTGCATTTGTTTCCACACCTGACACAAAAATAGATCTGCATAATTTTAGTTCAATTTGTCTTTGTTTTTCTCTCACACTTCATGTAAAGCCGAAGTAAACAAATAACAGCCTGTGTAGAGTTTAACAGCACAGCGCTCGCTAAAGCCTGCTGTAATAATGTGCACCTTGAATAAGAGTTTGCTTGATTTAACAAATGATTAAGCGTCTGCCAGAAAGACGTCTTTATTTGCCAGCGGGCGATACGCTAAACAAAAGCGGTGTGATTGCTGAAGTCATTGTGAAGTCTGCTAATATTCCCGTTCCTCACTGGAGCAAAGAAAACCGCTCGCCGTTCTGTTAAGAATAGAGAACCTGAAATACAATTCTGGCTAAATTATAAGTCTGCATCTCCGAGCAGCGGGGAGTCTCTCTCCATCTGTGCTAAACGGTTCCACTTCGCAAGAAACACAATCAATTCAGGACTGTTCCTCCGTACTGTCGCAATAAATACAGTCAAGGCTTATATTTAAAAAAATAAAAAATAAGGAAGGAAGAAAGACTGTATGGATGGAGACAGAGGAGTGGGAGAACTGCTGTTTCATGTATTTACAATAAGACTTTTCATTTGATCTTTTTCCACTCCAATTAGATTTTAAGGTTTAATTTTATCTCAGAAAAACAAGCTTCTTATTCTTTAAATATTCTTTGGATGAAAAATGGTAATTCCATGTGCAAATCTATTTTAATCAAGTATATGTAATATTTACAACAGTTAAATATACAGCTGAAGTCAGAATTATTAGCCCCCCTTTGATTATATATATATATATATATATATATATATATATATATATATATATATATATATATATATATATATATATATATATATATATATATATATATATATATATATATATATATATATATATATATATATATATATATATATAT